CTCACTGTCACCCAGGCATGATCACGGCTCACTGCAGCCTGGACTCCTGGGCTTAAGCGATCCTCCCACTTCAGCCTCCTGAGTAGCTGGGACCACAGGCATGTACCACCATGCTGGCTAATTTTTTAAATTTTTTGTAGAGACAGGGTCTCACTGTGTTGCCTAGGCTGTGTCCACACATGAAATGCTCATACTTCTAATTGGTCTTGCTCCTCTTTTTCTTTTCTGTTCCTTCCTTTCTCATTTCTTTTTTTCTGTCCATCCTTCTTTTTTTAATTCTTTAGTTTATTAACATGAACTCTCATCAGCTTATCCCTGGGTTGCTGCAATACTCCCCTAACTGCAATCCCAGTTGCCACTGGGTGCTGCTTTCACCTACTACTATTTTTGTCAGATCTCTCTTTCTAAAGCAGAGCTTGGATTATGGTTCTGTCCAGCTCAGAAATTATCCATGGCTCCCAGTCACCTACAAGATGAAGCCTGAGCTCCTAGCCTGGTACCCCAAGCCCTTCAGGAGCAGGCACCATCCTTCCTATCCAACTTTATTGTTCAAGACTACCAAGCATACATCCCTTTCCTTCTTGGGTCACATTGTTTCTTTACTATGCACAACTATGCCCTCCTGTGGCCCTTACTGTTTGGAATATTTATCCTGTCTATCAGAAAACTCAATTCATCCCTCAAATACTATTTATCCAGTTGAAGTCTCATTATTTGTACACTATTGTCTCTAAAATGTGAGCTCCTTCTTCTCCGAACTCTGTTAAAACAAAGAAAACATCTAGCAGAGACTTAATATGTATCAGGCACTGTCTTTCTCACTTATTTGTCTTTTAAGGTAGGTATTATAACCCCCATTTTGCAGGTGAGGAAACTGAAGTTCAGAGGAGTAGAGTAACTTGCCCAGTCACAGAGCAAGGAAAGACAGAGCCAGGATTCAAACCAAGTCTGTCTAAGCCCGAGGATCGTGTTCTTTCTAGGGTTCCATTGGGTTAGGATTTATTTGAACTGAAAAACCCAGGGTCTTTTTTCCCTCTTCATATAAACAGCCAGCCCATTTCTGAAGCAAGGGCAGTGGGGCCTCCAGGTGTCAGAGCAGGGTGTGTGCAGGGTGTGGTGGTCCTGGTGGGCTCACGAGCTGCACTGGAGTAAGAGTGCTCCGCTGTGTCTTTTCACTCTTCTGCTTCCTTGCTTTCCTTGCCTGGCGTTCAGGGAGATGGCCTCCTCAGGAATCTACAAGCTGGATGATGGGAAGCCTTACCTGAACAACTGCTTTCCAGCCAGAAACCTGCTTCGCGTGCCAGAGGAAGGTCAGGTGACTTCTCAAGTTGATACCTTTTCCTCATACCTAGCTCCTGCTTTAGACCATCTCACATCTACTTGTTCTTCTCCAACTCCTTCACTACTGTTCCCTGCTGTACCCAGTCCTTCCCCCTCCAGTCCTAGTAGCCTCCATGGGACTTCTAAAGTGCACATTTAACCACAGTGCCCCTTCTGTTCAGTGACTTCTCATTGCTAACTCCTTTAACTGGCATTCTGTGTCATTCTGAGTTTAACCTGCTCTTACCCTCTGCAACAACCCATTTCCTCCTTTATGCTCTATTCTACGGTGCTCGCTTTTCACATAGCTTTTTTATTTGCCCTGAATGTTCCAGCCCTCATTCTTGTTAGCCAAACTCTTCCCATCACACAAATCCCAGCTTTCCTTCTACTTCTTCCAATAAGCCATGTCTGACTACCCTAGTCCTCAGCACTCGTCCTCTCGTGAGCTGTCTTCCTGTCTGTATTTCTTATTTGGTGAGTGATTATAGTCTGCCAAACTCCTAAATAAAATGGCTTAAATTTGACTCTGCTAGGTAGATTTTCAAGTATTTATCTAGTCAAAAAATTCCCCGGAGCAGGGAATTGCTGTAATAAGAACCCTATAGGTGGAACACTAAGTATGGGTTCTCTGGATTGGATTAGTTGCTTTCAAAGGGTAGGGCAAAGGAGAAGTACACCTTGTTTACTCCAGATGTTGTAACTTGTTGGTCACTATGTAGATGGAATATTGGAAGAACCTTCTCTTCCTGCCTGTCCTTCCTGCTTCTCTACAGTGATTTTGTTTTTCACACAGAGACTTTCCCTGGCCACCTACCTATCAGACACCTTCAAATGGAGCTATCAGTGTGAACTCATAGTTTATCTCTTTGTCTCTCTCTCTTTCTCTCGCTTGCTGTCTCTGTCTCTCACACACACACAGACACACAAAGATGGATAGCTACAGAAATAAATATAGTTGTATATATCTATATGTCCTAGTGTACATATGTGTATTTCCCAGTCCACTGACAGCAATGACACCTCAGCAGCAAAAAGCATACGTAGTATCTACATCTTGGTTTCTAAATACCATTCTGCAATGAAAACAGCATGGGCTTCTTGGAGAAATAGCTGTTTGCAGGACTAGGGCAGAAAAAATACAAGTTGAGTTGGAATATCTTGTGGTGCCAGAAGTAAAGAAGTGCTCGGAAAAATAATGGGGCATGTTGAAAGGACACAGCTGACTTGAAGGTGCTCCCAATCACCAAAGGTAGGACAGTTTGAGCAATGAAATAAATAATGGCGGAATTAGGTTGTAGACCATGGAACAACAAATATTCATGAGTCTACTAATATAAATGAATACTTGAATATGTAGATATGTGGGGGAAACAAAATAGCTCTCTCTTTTCTTTTTTTTGAGATGGAGTCTCTCTCTGTTGTCCAGGCTAGAGTGCAGCAGTGCAGTCTTGGCTCACTGCAACCTTCGCCTCCCAGGTTCAAGTGATTTTCCTGCCCCAGCCTCCTGAGTAGTTGGAATTACAGGCACTTGCCACCATGCCCAGCTAATTTTTGTATTTTTTATAGAGATGGGGTTTCACCATGATGGCCAGGCTGGTCTCAAACTCCTGACCGCAAGTGATCCACCTGCCTCGGCCTCCCAAACTGCTAGGATTACAGGCATGAGCCACCACTCCCAGCCAGCTCTTTCTTATAGTTGAATTCCAACTAGAAAATGTAGAAGGAATGAGGGAAATAGAAAGTCACTATTCAAACACTACAGTAATAATTTTTGTAGGTAAGAACCATTATAGGATGTTGCATTAGAGTTCTTCAGAGAAACAGAACTGGTAGGAGATAAACAGGACTAGTAGGAGATAGGTAGGTGGGTAGACATATTTTTTTTTTTTTTTTAAGGAATTGACTTTATGTGATTGTGGGGGATGCAAGTCTGAAATTTGTAGGGCCGGCTGGCAAGCTGGAAACCCCTGGGGAGGAGCTGAAGTTGTTGTGTTAAAGCAAAATTTCTTCTTCCTCTAGGAAACCTGTTTTGCTCTTAATGTCTTTCAATTCATTGGGTGAGGGCACCCACATTATCAAGGATAGTCTCTTTAACTTAACATCAGCTTATTGTAAATACTAATTACATCTACAAAATACCATCACAGCAACACCTAGATTAGTGTTTGATAGAATAACTGCATATTATAGCTTAGCAAAGTTGATGCATAAAATTAACCATCATGGATACTAGAATAAGTGAGTAAAAGTATGATGAGAAACAGGATATTTACATAGTTTCTTTTTTCTCCTGTTGATCTCCTGACATGCTCTGAGCCTTCCTTTCTGGTCTTGTTAGGGATTTTGGCACCAACTCAGGCTGAGGTCCCTAGCAGTCAGGCACATGAAGATAGGATAAAGTAGAAGCAGAGTCCATGCCCCAGATGAGGGCAGCCCTGGGAAATGGGGTACCTGGAGTATCAGTCCCATAATGGAAATGGGAAATGGCTCATATGAGATACAGGACAGGAACTGCATCCAAGAAGCAGGATGGGCAGCAGTGCTGTATGAGCCGGGGCAAGTCCCTGAGGCAGGGATAGTGGGCTTTCCCAGAAGATAACCAGTGGTTAGAGGCACAAAGCTTGTTCCCACAGCACCCCTTGTATTATTATTATACTATTGTATAAAAGATGTTATGTATTATATTATTATGACTCCTTTGAGTTAGGGCTTCCTTTTTATTCATTCTCATACTCCCAGTTCCCAGCATAAAGTAGATGCTCAGAAAAGATAGGAATGGATGACTGTGTGGGCAGGGGCTATAGGACAGAGTTCATTCAGTCATTTGTTCAGCAACAGTCACAATGTGGTAAGCTCTGTGCAGGCCTTGGGAATACTGAGATGAATGAGTCAGATAAAGTCCCTGCTATTCCAGAGCTTCCGCTCTAGAGAGGGAAACAATGAATAAGTGAACAAATAAAAGAATTACAGATTGCAATGAATACCATGCCATAAATAAACTGCTGGTGCAAGAAAGAACAGATTCCAAAATATGTTATGATTTTTGTTTGGTGGGCTTACTAGTGAACCTCATATTCTTTTTGCTTATGCACAATTTAAAATTCTTTCTATAGTAGACATGTATTATTAGGTTTTTTTTTTTAACGCAAACTGTCCTACATTTTCTTATTGTGAGTTTCTAACAGCATCTTTTCTGTATACTGATAGAGGTTTGAGAAGATGGAACCCTTGAATTGAGGTCACACATTAGGCATTACTCAAGAGATGACCAGTAGAAGAGTAACTGGCATGCATGAGAAAGAGCAATCAGCTCTACTGAGGGGCAAAAGGGAAGACTTCACAGAACAGGAAATACTTGATCTTAGTTTTTGAAGGAATAATAGAATTTGGAGATAAAAATGTGAAGGAAGGAATTGGGCAAGTCATTCCACCTCCTTTTGTCGCAGCCTTTTCATCTATAAAATAATGACAATAACATGTTTTTCACTGGGTTTGGAGGTCAATTAAATGACATACCTAAGTAGATATCTCCCCTACCCCCAGCTACAGTCCTGTGTCTGGTGCATGTTAGGTAATCAGGAGCTAGTTTGGGTTTTAGTATTATAAACAAAGTCTATAATTGCACTCGTTGTAACTTTGGAGTTTTCCCCTTTTCACTGTTCTAATTTTCTCAACAGGCCAAGGACACTGGTTAGTGGTTCAGAAAGGTAACCTCAAGAAGAAGCCCAGGGGTTTGGTTGGAGCACAAGCTGAACGTCGGGAAAGCCTGAAGGTGACTTCTTTTGAGTTCAAGGGGAAGAAAGGGTCTCGGCGGGAAAATCAGGTGGACCTTCCTGGACGTATCCTGGACCAGGCTTTTCTGGTGAGAGTAAATGCATCCTGGAGTGGCCGGCACATTAGCTAGGGTGCGGAGGAAGTAGGGAAGGATTTACCCTGCTCTGGCACAGCTACCCCCAGTCTACTCCAAACTATTAGAGTGATATTGGCAAATTGAATACAGCCAGGATAATGAAGGGACCCAAAGGTTTCTTGACATGTGAAGCTTTCTTGACAGCTACCTAGTAAGATAGGTATTGTCATCCCTTTTGTGTTGTTGCCATTGGGCCGTTGGGAAAACTGAGGCTCCAAGAGGTAATTTGCCTTGGCTGAGGTTCCACAGCTAGTAAATGGCTGATCCAGGATTAGAACTGTGGTCTACTGACTCCAAAGCCTGTACTTTTACATTATATGAGGTAAAAACTCTTACTAAGTTGGAGAGGCAAAGGAGCAGGTCAGGGGAAACAGTCAATTGAAAATTGCATTCCAGCACCTAGTAGGGTTGAGAGATTCCTGCTCTGCTCATTGGGGCGATCTCTACAGGATCGAGTGGGACTGGGGAGATCCTGCTCTCCCACAGCCTTTGACTTTAGTGTCTGGCTAAAAGCTAGGGGAGCTCACCAGATACTACGTAGTGCCCGGGGCAGGCTTTACAAAGAGGACTGGGGTGGCTGTGTTGGAAACCAGCCAGGTAGTTTCACATCTGCTCTGAGAAATGCCTCAGTGGCTTTGCTAAGAAGGATGTATTTTGTAAATCAATATTAATGTGCCGTCCAGTTCTTATAGCTCCCTAAGAACTCCCTGGCTGTCTGCTTTGTTTCCAGATTCTGCTGTGGTTCCCAAGAGATGGGTGTTTGCATAGATCAGATGTTGAAAGAGACCTTTGTTGGTTTCATCTCACTTCAAGTGGGTAGTATAAGCTTTTTGCAGTCCTGTGGAATCAGTTTCATTATTATGTCCACTTCTCATTGGGAATGAGGAGGACTGAAATAATAATGCTGAGAAGGGGCAGAAACACTTCCCATAGTGGCCTTTTTTTCTTCCATTGTTTCCAAATACTTATACATTCCCACATTCAATAAATATGACTTTTGCCACTGTGGGAGGCAGGAGCAATAGGGATGTTTCTCAGAGTTATGGGGTATCCACTCTGCCTATTGGATGGTTCCACTTGAATGTTTCATTGACAGTTGAATTACAGCACCAATGCTCCTACTCCAAATCCCAAAACAGATCTCTTTTCCAGTATCTACTTTACTGTCTCTGTTGGCACTACTATCTACCCCATCGCCAAGCCAGTACCTGAGGTTTTCCTTGACATTTGCCTCTCCCACACTGTCCCCACCCCAATGTTTACCAAGTCCTGGCACTTTTACAAAATAGTTTTCAAATCTGTTTTCTCGTCTTGACTGTCATGACCCTCATCTGGGCCACCATCATCTCTTATTGGACTAATTCAAACGTTTTCTATCTGTTGTGAGCCAATTAGGATGCTTTTATTTCACCTAAAAAGCCAGAGGCGTTGTTTAGGGTAGATTAGTTTACTGGATTAATGACGTCTTGCAAGGCTTGGGTTCCTTCTGTCTTTCTACTGTGCCATTTTACATGTTACCTTGTCCTCTTGGACTGATTGCCTTCATGATCCTGAGATGGCTGCAGCAATTCTGGTCATCACATACAGAAGATAACATCCTGAAGTAGAGAAGGGATTGCTACTGTCTAATGTCTTTTCAGAAAGGGATTGTTACTGTCTAATGTCTTTTCAGAAGTAAGAAAATGCTTTCCAAAACCGGTCCCCCTCCCCAACACCAAGCAACCAGTATCTCATTATCTAGACCTATGTCACATGCCCAAACAGTTATGAGTTAGGGGAATGAGACCTCCATGACTGGTTTATACAGATCAAGACTTACTGCCTGAAGCTGTGGCTTAAGAACATTCCATTTGGAGAAATGTGAATAACACCGGTGTTCTTTAACAAGGAAGGAGTAGTGGTTATTAGGAAAGTAATTAACCAATCTGGTACATTGGTCTTTCCCCTTCCTCTCCTGTCTTCTCATCTACGTGATGTAATCTGTCTGATATGTCTATGTGTAGCTGACGTTACAATTTTTATAAAATTACTATCAGCCCCCTACTAAAAATCTGCTTTCCGTTTGTTGTAGGATAAAATCCACGCTCCTTTGTAGAGCCAGCGTGGACTCATGATCTAATGGCCATCTCACTAACCTTATCTTGTTTTTCATCCTCTCAGAAGCACCTTGCTTTTTCCTGCCTTGGTAGACTTCATAATCCCTACTACCCACTTTCATGAGACCTATTTAGCTCTTAGGTCTCTGAAATATTACTTCCTCAAGTAAATATTTCCTCATTCAGACTAAGGTTAGGACTTCCTGTTATATCTCTTATAGCATCTTGAATTTCTCCTTTAAAATATTTATCATATTTATAAATACATACTTGCTACTTGGCTTCCCATGACACTGTAAGCTCCATGAGGTTATGGAATGTCTCTGCTTTTTCTTCATTGTCTTCCCAATGCCTTTTAGTGCCTAAACATAGTGGGTACCATAAATAAATAATTAGCAAAAAAAGAATGAGGTTTGATTAAATATAAATGGAAGCTCCAAAGCTAAAATTTACCTCTAACTTTTAAATTATGTCAGGTGACATATGGTAGTCAAAAGTGCGTAGAGTTTAGTGATTACAGATTTGGATTAGTAAGATCTGTCACTTGCTAACTGTGGTACCATTTTTTGGCAAGGCACATTACCTCTTTTAACCTTGTTTTTCTCATTAAAAAGGAGAGATAATCTTACTTATGTCAAAGGGCTTAGTTAGGATTAGAAGGAAGTTTGTTAATGTATTCAGCAAAACATATGGCCCAATTTAGTGTTTGGTAAATATTTGGTGAATGAATGGATGAATAATGAATGAATGAATGAACAAGCAAACAAATTATGACAAGTACAAAAGATTGCCCAAAAAGAGAAGGCTGAACGATAATAGATTAAACTTTGTAGGGGCCTTAAGAGCCAACTCTTTGTATTATGTTCCAGCTAAAGCACCACTGTGTGAGGAAGCCATCAGATCTGTGCACTGTTAATGTCAGTGGCCTGAAGTTCTCCAAGGTGAGGTCTGCCAGCAAAGATGTGATTGGGGTGAGCCAGACTTGAAATGGTGCACCTGTCTGTTGTGGTTTGTCTCTTGCACCTCCAGAGTCCATAGGGACTGGAAATCTGGTCACATAGAAGGAGGGAGAGGAGGGTCAGACAAGGATTTATTGGGTAGAAACAATATTCAGACACAAACTTTTGCTACAAATTTTATATTGTCCTTGTCCCATTTGACATGAATTAAAGAAAGTTGCCTTATGGGCCAGGCACGGTGGCTCACATCTGTAATCCCAGCACTTTGGGAGGCCGAGGCAGGTGGATCATGAGGTCAGGAGCTCAAGACCAGCCTGGCCAAGATGGTGAAACCCCATCTCTACAAAAAATACAAAAAATTAGCTGGGCATGGTAGCGGGTGCCTGTAATCTCAGCTACTCGGGAGGCTGGGGCAGAGAATTGCTTGAGTCCCGGAGGCGGAGGTTGCAGTGAGCCAAGATCGTGCCGGTGCACTCTAGCCTGGGTGACAGAGCGAGACTCTGTCTCAAAAAAAAAAAGAAAATTGCCTTATGAAACTGGTTTCGAATTTGCCATGTAATTTTGTGGGTACATAATTCATTGTGTGGCACTGAGTTCCCATCACAAGAGCCTACAAAAGACATTTCTTAAGTTTCAATGCCAGGAATTGTAATGGTTTTCCCAAGAAGCTGGTTCATTCCTAACTTACAGGTGCTGTGACTCATGCAATGAATCATGTTTCTTTCTTTGTGTTGGCTTATAGGCAGCTTGGAGCCATATTTGTTACCCACCATTAGCCAGTGTGTATACGGGATATTATAACATACATCTTTGGCATGTAGGCTTTCGTGGCATACCAAGAGAGATTACTTGTATAAACCATAGAGTAGAGGCTCTAACCCACAGAATGGCCAAGTTTGTGGTAGAGCAGACTGCTCCTTTAACAGGGTTCTGCTTCACTTCATTTAGTACTCATGTTTTCAGAATTGAGTTACTTCGGGACAGGTTAGCCATAGAAATATATTCATCTTGTGGCTAAGAGGCCGTCCATTCTAGGCCAGCACATGGTCCTGGAGATTATAATATATAGGTCACATGTAACAGTGAGACAAAGTCGTAGAAGAAGATTTCAGAGGTCTCTGTCAATTCAGCTTGTGAGGGCTACAACATGGCTGGCCAAAGCTCAGTCCCCTCATTGGATACCATCTGTTCTTCTTTTACTTATTCACTCACCTGCTCACCAAACATTACTGAGGCCTGGTGTGTCTCTGTGCTATTTGCTGGAGGGTATAGAGGTGGCTCAGACACTGCCTACCCTCTGGAGCATATAGTCCAGTAGGGAGGGAGGAGGCTGGGCTTAGATGGATATGGAGTTAGACGGGACTAGCTAATGCAGCCAATGAGAGAAACACGAGAGTGCTGAATATGACCTCAGAGGACAGGCCCCTGACTCAGCCTTACACAGGAAACACACCCTGGAGAGGGTGGTAGCTTAGCTGAGACCCATGGGATGAGTGGATGCTTGCTAGCTTTGTGGTTAAACCATAAAGGAAAATGTCTGTGAAATTTAATTAAAAATATCTATCTAACAAAAGTTACCATAAACAAAGGTAAAAGATAAGCTGAGGCTAGGATAAGATATTAGCAAGTAATATAACCAAAAGGTATTAGGATCCAGAATATGTCAAGAGCTCCTACAAAACAATAGGAAAAAAGAGAAACCCAGTAGAAAAATAGACAACAGATAAATATGTTAGTATACAGAAGAGGAACTTGAAAGGCCAGCAAATACAGGAAAAGATACTCAGCCTCATAAGTAATCAGGAAAATGCAGTGCCTTTTTATAATAATCAGACTGGAAAAAATTAAAGTTTTATAATGCCAGTTGCAAGGATTTAAAGAAATAGAACTTCTCATACACTGCAGGTAGGACTATAAATTGTTTTAACTACTTTTGAGAACAATGTGGTACCATCTCATAAAGCTGTGTATTCCCCACAGCTTAATAGGAGTATATCATTAAAGAAACTCTTATGATGAGGAGGTGTGTATTAGAATATTAATTACATCATTGTTTGTAATAAAATTTGGAAACAGACTAAATGGGAATGAATAAACTTGCAATATATTCAAACAATGGAATATTGTACAGGAATTAAAATGGTTGAACTGGGGCCAGGCGTGGTGGCTCATGCCTGTAATCCTAGCAATTTGGGAGGCTGAGGTAGGAGGATCACTTGAGGTCAGGAGTTTGAGACCAGCCTGGCCAACATGGTGAAACCTTGTCCCTATTAAAAATACAAAAATTAGCCGGGCATGGTGGCAGACACCTGTAATCCCACCTACTTGGGAGGCTGAGGCCGGAGAATTGCTTGAACCCAGGAGGTGAGGTTGCAGTGAGCCAAGATTGCACCATTGCACTCCAGCCTGAGTGACAGAGCAAGACTTTGTCTCAAAAGAAAAAAAAAAAAAAAAAAAGACCGAACTAGAACCACATCTGTCAACATATGTAAATTTCAAAAGCTGCATGTATCGACAGGTAAATCTCAAAAACAGTGTTGAGTGAAAAGGCAGGTTGCAGAATGATACCTACAATATTATTGCATTTAATGTAAAGTTTTACTATCTGTATCTAGCATTATATATAGTTGATAGATACACACACATGTGTAATATAAGTATAAAAAACGTATGGGAGCTGGGTGCAGTGGCTCACACCTGTAATCCTAGCACTTTGGGAAAAGTGATTATTGTAAAAAGGCACTGCATTTTCCTGATTACTTTTTCCTGTATTTGCTGGCCTTTCAAGTTCCTCTTCTGTATACTAACATATTTATCTATTGTCTATTTTTCTACTGGGTTTCTCTTTTTTTTGGCTGAAGCGGGTGGATCACTTGAGCCTAGGAGTTTGAGACCAGCCTGGAAATCATGGCAAAACCCCATCTCAGCTAAAAATACAAAAAAGAATAGCCAGTCTTGGTGGCGTGTGCCTGCAGTCCTAGCAACTCAAGAGGCTGAGGTGGAAGGATCACCCAAGCTGGGGAAGTCAAGGCTGGAGTGAGCCCAGATTGTGTCACTGCACTCCAGTCTGGGCAATGGAAGTGAGACCCTGTCTCAAAAACAAACAAACAAGCAAACAAACAAAAACTACCAACTATGGGAATGATAGTCTCCAATTCAGGATAGCTGTTATGGGATTAGTGAGGGGATACATGGACGGGGTGGTAATGGTGGTGGTTCACCCTATATAATATTTTCTTTAAGGAAATTTAAAGCAAAGACAGAAAAATATTCAGCTGTATTAAATACATACATCTGGATAGTGGTGATATGGGTCTTCAGAGTGTCATTCAGTATACTTTTCTGTACATTTGAAATGTTTCATAGTGGGAAAAAAGCAGGAAAACGCTTACAGCACTCAAGTGGCTGCTCTTGTGCTAAGGATGTCCCTTATTCCTTTAGGTCTTTGTTCCTTCTGACAGTGGCCCTGAAGCTTCAGCAAGCCTTTTAGGCAGGGAACTAATCTTGTCGACTTTTTTTTTTTTTTTTTTCCTGAAATGCTTTCCTACAGGCTAAGGAAAATGACTTCAAGCATTTTCATTCTGTGATTTATATCAATGCCTCAGAAAACCTGCTGCCTCTAGGTAAGCTTTTTCTTTCTTGAAAGCTCTCTTCCTCCTCTTAGCCAGCACAGCCATTCACATGTCTGAGGATTTGTCTATCTATCCATCCATGATTGGCCGCACATCTCTTTTTTGGGGTACAATAGGCTGGGTCCTGGAGAGCATAAAGACCTCGATTCCAGTCCTGTTCTGGCGCTACCTACTTAGAACATTTTTCTGTGATCTGCTACTTTTCCATCTGTCAATGGGGGTAATTCCCTTCTTTTTTCCCTCCCATTGCAGGATACCTCGCAGGCTCATATGAGATGGGTGTATAAAAATGTTTCTAAGCCTGTAAAGTGCTCCTGTGAGAGCATAAAGCCTTCTGTTATTCAGCAAATCCACAGCGACCCCTGCTGGGTATTAGCACTATGTGAATATTTGGCTTTTAGAAATGAGTGCATCCAGTCTTGCTCTGGTGAGCTCGTGGTTTGGTGAGAGAGATGGACTCAGATACAGATAGTTAAAGCAGAATGAGGGGAGAGCAGTGAAAGAGAGAATCAGGAAATATTATGCAAGCATATATGTGGGACTTCAAGCCAGGCCAGAGTGTCAGGAGGAACTTCTGAGAAGAGGAGCACCTAAGCTGAGACCAAAAAAATGAATAGGAGTGATTCAGGAACTAGAAGGTAAGAAGGCATTTCTGGCTGCTGAAGCAGATGTGGAATGCAGCACCTGATCAGGAAGACTGAAGAGGTTTTGTATGTTTGCCAGGGAAGCATGTCGGGGACAAATGAAACTAGAGAGATTGGCAGTGACTGGATTATCAAGGACTAGGAGTGAATTGGACTTAGTGCTACAGGCGAAAGAGAGCCTTGGAAGGGTTTTAAATAGAGAAGCTCAGTGGCAGTTGTGAGGAGAGTGGATTATAAGATAAGAAGAAGATGGAGGCCAGGAAACCTGGGAGATTTTTTCAGGTTTTTAGGGGAGTGGAGATGAGGCCTGAGCCAGGATTATGACAAGAAGCATGCAGAGGATTGAGAAAAAGAGAGAGAGAGAGAGAGATTGAGATTGGTTTAGAAGGAGTAGAAACCACAGGACTTGGTAACTGATAGACTGATAGGGATGTAAGGAGAGGGAGGAATCAAGGGCGCATTTCACTGAGACAGGGCACAGCACACTAGAGAAAAGGCAGGTCAGAGGGAAACAGGGTAAGTTCAGTTTTGTTGCATTGAGTTTGAAGATTGTTTTCAAAGAAGCATATGATGAGGTCCTGCCCTTTAGGAGACAGGGTGTTCTGTCAGGAGCTTGGGCTTGAAATACAAAGGCCAATAGGTATATGAAAAGATGTTCAACCTCACTAATAATTACAATGGATCAAGATACTGTTTTCTGCCTGTCAAATATTGGCAGAAGTGAAAAGGGCTGATGACAGCCAGCATTGGTAGGGAAATGGATATTCTTGCATTGAACTGTGGAAGTATAGTCATTGATGTAACATCTTGGAGGTAACTTGGTAATGTTTCTTAAAATTTAAAATAGTCATTGCCTTTAATCTAGTAGCTTTACTTCCAGGAAATTATTCTATAGAAACACACTCGTACAAGGCTGCTCATTGGAAACATCCAGAAATACTCACAAAGCAGCCTTTATTAGGTTCTACTGAACATTCTGACTTACAAGACTACCATGGGCTATATTTAACATCAGGTTCACTTAGAAGGCTCTAAGTAATTCCACACAGAATGCCAGTACTGCCAGCATCAGGAGTTTCTCTTCAGTGGAGTTCCCAAAGCCATCCATGAGGCATTCTTTGTGCCCCTTCTCCCGACCCCCAGTGTCAGCTCGGGTACAAGACAGTGAAACTGTCATTGGGTGGATGCAAAAGCCACCCTGGCTTAGAAATCTCATTCGCCACAGGAGCCAATATACATTGAAACACTTATAGGCATAGCTCCTAGAGTTTCTGCAAAGGATATGTCCAATTATAGGAATCACTACACATAGGGAAGCCCAAAATTATGGTGCCCCTTTCAGGCGTCTATCATTCATTTACAGTTTCTCCTAGCCCAGATGTAATTTACCAACCTAGGGTGATTTTTACCACAAGTGATACTGCCTGGAAATGCAGTTACTATACCATTGGTTTCAGGTTACCAGAGGAACAGGGCTAGAAAAAGTTCAGTTCTCATTCAGAGAGAGAAACTTTTATTCATATAGTTCCTTACCTTTTATTCATATAGCCTAAAGGCTATCAATAGGGAAATGGATTAGTAAACTAACATATATCTATACAGTAGAACATCAAGAGACAGTAGGCATATCTACATGTTTCGACATGAAATAATCTTTAAGTTATATTGTTAAGGGAAAAAGCAAGTCAGTACAATGTGTACAGAATGACTCTATTTTTGTTAAAAGAGGTATGTGTGTGTATTTTGATATATACATGAGAAAAAGTTGAGTGCTATATATGCAACTTTTAATACTTGTCTCTGGATGTTGGGATTAAACAGAACTTTTTATTTTTCTATGATGTTTGACTGTTTTTCTTAGTTATGTTTTAATTTTTGTAATCAGGATTAATAAAGATAATTTTTTAAATGTGCTTTGCTGTTGAGCAGACTTAGATTCAATCCTTGGCTCTTTCACTTACCAGCAATTTCATTCTGGCAAATCACTTAGTTTGGCTGAGGCTTAGTCAGCCATAGAATGGAAGTAGTAATCCCTATTTTTCTGCGTTGTTGGAGATTTAGAGGCCATGTATGAAGAGTACCTTATACAGTGCCTGGCCTAACCCAGTAGGAACACAGTAAATGGTAATTATTAATATCTTTCTCTTAAGTCCTTTACAAACTGCAGACTGTCTTTCTCCTCCCCATGTAGAGGCATTTCACACGTTTCCAGCCCTAAAGGAACTGGATCTCGCATTTAATGGCATCAAAACTATCTACGTGAAATATGGAGACTTTAAGTTATTGGAAGTAAGTTGGAGGTAGGAAGTTTTTGGTGCCCACCAAGTTCCCCTGTAAGGAATGAGTATAGAGCTTTACTGATTATAACTGTTGGGAAGGGGCTTGCTGGGCCTGTACAGCCAGGCCCTTGCTTCATTGCTGGTCTCCAGGGAGGGTGGGGGTGGGGGTTGTAAGGGCAATGATAGTAATGGAGGTGGTGGTGACGGTAGAAGTGGCAGCAAATAGTTGATACCAAAGACTTAACCATGGTGCATGGTCCTGGAAAATAAATGCCAAAGGTCATGTCCAAGGGAGTCTGTGCGGAAAAGTTTTAAAACAGAATATTATAGGAGGGAGAGTTTTGAGGGGAGATCTGGATCTAGTGGGGGTTGAGGAGCCATGGAGCTTAAGAGCTAGGTGCAGCAGATTGGATCGGCTCAACTAGAGATATTATAGACTCATTCCAGAGTCTCATTGTGGTCTAAGTGAGCTGAATCAGTCTCAGTGGCTGGGATAGAGCAGGCTATAGGCTTAGTCCATAACCTCGGAGATGAGTATGAATAGGGATTCAATGGCATCAGCAGCAGAGTCTTGAACATTTGTACATTCACAGCTGTTCTTCAAACCCCAAATTAGAAAATACAGAAAATTTTGTTTGCATTCTTGGTTTTCTCCTAAATTTTCCCATAGCCATGCATTTTCTGCACATGTCCTCATAGTTCAAGTTGATTACTTCTTCAGCTTTCATGAAGACTTGTGGGTCACTTTTTACAAAGGAACAAAGCTTTGTCACTACCTGAGAGTCACTGCATATGTGGACAGTAAAGGACAACAGAGTTGGAGCCACGTGTGGGGCTGGGCATCTGGCCATGCTCACTCACTGAGGAATAGACTCTTCTCCACATGCTGGAGTAGAAGTGTTTCAGAGTCAAATCTCAGCAAAATGTCTGCACATCATGAACCTTGAGGTCGACCCCAAAGAGCTATTAACTTAAATGATTTCATCAGCAAACATCAAGGGTCAGCCATTCTTCACAAAAGCCTCACTTAACCTGTTGTTGTCAGTGAGGGGAACCTTCTACAAGAGTGAGTTTTTCAGAGTTGATGGCCTTCATATGCCAAAGCTTTAAAAGGTTTTAAGCTCTTGGAATAGCCATCTTCCTAAATTGGATTATATGTCTTTGCATTTTTAAAGCATATTCTGCTGACTGTAGTGGAACCTTCTCTCCATGGTCTCAAGTCATATTGAAGATAACAGTAATTTACTATGATTTGGGACAACAGTAGTCCTCACACTTGTCCAGGAAGCAAAGCTCTTGAAAGTCGAATAAAATAGAAAGTTTACAACAACCGGTGCATTTTTTTCTGTGTTAATAAATATTTAATAGTAGATTTTGGAATAGACAGAAGGAAACAGGTTTCAGATGGTCTAGAGATACAGGGAGCCATGTCCCTGACCTTTTAGCCTGGAAGCTTCTTAAGAATTTCCATTTATTTGTTCTACTTTTTCAAAGAGTAGTCATTGAGCTCCTGTGTTGTGCATTGTACCATGCATCTTGTCTTCTTCCCCTACCATTTCAAACCTGTTTCAAGTGCCAGTGGGTTGAAGGGAGGAGGCATGACTATAGGCTCTGACCCCACAACTGACTAGCTTGGATCTAGTGATTGACCATGAGTGACTTTTTTGGAGGCCTTACTTTATAGTGTGATTGCATCTGATGAAGATGATTTATCCACAGACCTACCCTTACGAAAGGGTGTTTACATAAGAGAGCAGACCAAAGTTAAGATGCAGAATATAAATGAAAACAGGAAATCTCTTGCCCAGCCATCTGTTTTCATCTGTCTGTGATTTGCAAGGGCTCCCTAAGAAGAAGGATAAACCTGTCAAATATCCTGAATTTGCAGCTCACAGTAATGAATATTTTGATGTGTAATAAAACTTGATGTGACTCAGCAGATGTAGTAGCCAGGTTAGGAGTCTTCTGTTCTTGTTTGCCAAAAAGGCTGCCCCAGGAGGAAAAGCCCAGAGTAGAATAATTCTCCAGGAGTCAATTCAGAAAAACTTAACTTGCCATGGTTTGATTCTCAGATTCCAGATCTGAAGAAGGTTCAGCTGGAGCCCTGCCCTGGCAGTCAGAAGACCTTCTTTTGTCTTGGTTTTGCCAGTACTTTGCCATGCCTACCTGGCCAAACATTGTACCCTCTCTGGGACTAACATTTTCCCTCTGTAAATTCTGGGTCAGCTCTGAAATTCTGTGGCCTATGATTCTAAGGCTATTCATTTCTTTGAATTGCACTTAATTCTATAGAAAGCAAATTTGGATCCTACATTAAATAGTCAAAGCAGCTAGAATGAGGTCAGCAAACTTTTTCTGTACAGCAGGCCAGACAGTGAATATTTTAGGCTATATCAAATATATATGACCATATATATTTAGACAATAATATATGGTCATCAACTAATCATAACTAGTCAGCTCTGCTGTTGTATAATGGAAAACAGCCATAGATAATATGTACACAAATGAGAAATGAGGATGGCTGTGTTCCAATAAAACTTTATTTATTTTAATTAATTAATTAATTTTTTGAGACAGTCTCACTCTGTCACCCAGGCTGGAGTAAGTGGCACAATCTTGGCTTACTGCAACCTCTGCCTCCTGGGTTCAAGCGATTCTCATGCCTCAGCCTCCCGAGTAGCTAGAACTAAAGCGGGGAACCACCACACCCAGCTAATTTTTGTATTTTTGGTAGAGACAGGTTTCACCTTGTTGACCAGGCTAGTCTCAAACTCCTGGCCTCAAGTGATCTGCCCACTTCAGCCTCCCAAAGAGCTGGGATTACAGGCGTGAGCCACCATGCCCAGCCTGAAACTTCATGATGCTGACATCTGAACTTCACATAACTTACACATGAAACACACTCTTATTCTTTTTTTGATTTTTTCAACCATTTAAAAATGTAAAAATTGGCTGGGCAGGGTGGCTCACACCTGTAATCCCAGCACTTTGGGAGGCCAGGGCAGGAGGATCGCTTGAGCCCAGGGGTTCAAGACCAGCCTGGGAACAAAATGAGACCATGTCTCTACAAAAATTAAAAAAAAAAAAAATAGCATGGTTGTGCATGCCTGTGGACCCACAGGAAGCTGAGGCAGGAGGATCACTTGAGCCTAGCAGCTTGAGGCTTCAGTGAGCCATGTTCATACCACTGCCCTCTAGCCATGTTCACACCAGGGGTGACAGAATAAGATCCTGTCTCAAAAAGAAAAAAGCAAAAATTATTCTTAGCTCATGGGTTATACAAAATAGCAGTAGGCCAGGCCAGCTTCTGAGCTAGAACGCTAATGAAACAGCTCAATATGGTTGGAATAGAGACTGAGACACAGTAGAGTGTAGTGATATGTGAACCTGGAGGGGTAGCAGAAAAGAGACTGGGGAGAACCTTGGAAACTTGCTGAGGAGTTTAAACCTTATGGAGAGTAGGGATTCGTTGAAGGGTTTTAAGCTAAGTGGTAGGGTCAGAACTGCATTTTAGAAAAACCATTCTGGCTTCTGTATAAAAAATAGATTGGAGGGAACAAGTATGAGAGATATTAAGGAGGCAGATAGAATCCGTAGGCTGACTGTTCACACATGAGTATGAGGGAGAGAATGTTCCCCACCTTTCCCTGTGCTTATCTTGGGCACCTTTCCAGGTCTTCCTCCTGTAGGCTTCTCTGTTCCAGCCAAGTGGGATCACCTCATTGTCTGAACCCTCAAACCTTGGAATTTGCTCATGGTGGCATGAACTCGGTGCTTCTGTAATACTTGGCTAGTCTTGTCAGGCCATTTCTTATACCATGGACTTCAGTCATAACCAAACTATTCATGGTTCTCAGAACAAGCAAGGTTGCCTCCTGCCTCCTGTCTTCCATACATGCCACTTGCTGCCCTGAATGTGTCTTTGCCCTCAACAATTTGGTGAATACCTGTTGGTCTCTGAGGACAGCTCAGATGTTACCTACCCTGTGAAGCCTGTCCTGATCCCCTGGTAGACCTGACCATTTCCTTCCTTTGTGCCCTGATTCGTCTGTCTTCAGACATCTATCCCAGTAGCATTGCTACATAATGAACATATACATGTATTTAGCTGAGTAGGCTGGGAGCTCCTAAAGGGCAGGGATGGGTGCAAAGTAAGCCTTATGCATAGGGTTGAGGAATGAAAGGATGATGATGATGATGATGACAGCCAACATTAAGCATTTACTGTATACTACACTCCAGGATAAAGGCTTTATTTACATAGGAACCACTTATTTCTACTTTACAGATAAGGAAACCCAGATTAAGTAATTTGCCTAATATCACATGGTTAGTCAGGACTTACGCCCAGGTCTGCAGAACTATCAATTAATTATTACAGCAGAGTCAGACTAAACCCAGTCCTTCTCTGATGGTAACCTGTAGTGTGTATATGTCTGACTATGTAATACTGATGTGGCTGACCAAAGACTTACTCCTGTACCAATTGAATTAGGCGCTGAAACCAACCCCATTCAATAGACTTCAATGTGTGTTGAGGAGGTGGGCACACGGAAGCACATAAGAAATAGGGGTGCATGAAAGGGAGCCAACTTGTATATATAGAGTCTACAGAGGCTTAGGAGAAGGAGAACAAATATTGGACAGATGTCATTTATCCCGATTTTCTTTGTCTCTGCAGAGAAACACAGTTTTCTGATTGACTCCTTGGCCCCTTGACCCCAGTCAACTATCTAATGAATCCAGAAGGCCAGTTAGAAGGTGGTTGACAATAGGGTGAAAATTTGGGTTTATTGTCCTCATAAGCCAGTTTATTTCTTTTTATTTTTATTTTTTCTTCTTTCTTTCTTTTTTTTTTTTTGAGACAGAGTCTTGCTTTGTCACCCAGGCTGGAGTGCATGGCGTGATCTCAGCTCACTGCAACCTCTGCCTCCCAGGTTCAAGCAATTCTCCTGCCTCAGCCTCCCGAGTAGCTGGCACTACAGGCACGTGCCACCACACCCAGCTAATTTTTTGTATTTTTAGTAGAGTCGGGATTTCACCATGTTATCCAGGATGGTCTTAATCTCCTGACCTCATGATATGCCCACCTCTGCCTCCCAAAGTGCTGGGATTACAGGCATGAGCCACTGAAGCCAGTTTATTTCAGCTCATTTTTTATGTGCAACTACTTTGCTCCAGCTCTTATGCTAACTTACAAGGATAGTGTTACAGTGGCATGGCACTTGACCCCACAGTCCTCCAAGTACCAGTTTATGATCTAGTCCACCACTGTGTGCCAAGCACTATGCTAGGCATATCCATATGCCAAATACCTGGCAGACTTGGATAAGTACCCCGAGTACCCTGAGAGCAGTTTAGATAAAGCAGTCAAAGTTAGGGGAGGTAGAGATTCCATCTGTCTGGGGAATTGAGAAGGTTTTACAAGGAGGCAACTTTTGAGCTGTCTTTTGGGGGCTTGGATTAGGATACATGGAAGAGGGGCATTCCCATTTAAGCAAAAAGTACAAGCAAAGATCTATAGGTGGATGAGGCAAAGAGCGGGGAGGAGTCTGTTTGCCCAGCACTACAGGATAAACAAAGATTTGTAGTGGCAAGTAAGGCTAGAAAACCGGTTGGGTACTGACTCTAGTAGACCTTTAATGTTAAAGGTGCAGGAGGGGTTTTTCCTGTGGGCAATGGGGCACTCTAGAAAGTAGTTCCCACATCATATATATGAGCATCATTGTCACACAGAGTGCTTATCTTCCCCATCTTTCATCTTTGCATGGCAGTTCTTGGACCTTTCCTTCAACAGCCTGACTGCGGAGGCCATCTGTGATTTGGGGATTCTGCCACACCTCCGTGTCCTGCTCCTCACAGGCAATGGCCTCACCTCCCTGCCGCCCAATTTGGCCGTCGCAGAGCAGTAAGTTCTATCTCCCGGAGTCCATTCTGTGTTTTTGTGTATAAGTATCCAAGGAAATAACCCATAGCAGCTTGGAAGTGCCATAAAGACAGGCTGTAAGTGCTCAAAGCAGGGATAATGCCACCTACTGAAGCTCCCAGAAAGGCCGCAGACACGTGCCCCCAATTTCCTGTGTGCTGTTAGGAGAGATCAAGATGTTTGGCAAGCCACTTTCCCTGCCTCTGACTGGTCATCTGTAAATTGTCTTGCCAGACAATTCTCCTTCACGAGCCTTCTGTGTCAGCTCAGTAAGTCTGTTCCCTGGTCTCTAGATAAGCTTTGTACATTCCCACTCTGCACCTTTGCTGAGACCATTCCTTCTGGCTGGTCCTTCCTCTCTTGATAGTAATAAAAACACGTATGTCGTACTTACAATGAGCCAGACACTGTACTCAGCATTATATATGTTAACTCATTAAATCCTCATAACAGCTCTGTGAGGTAGGTCTCCTATTATTATCCACATTTTTTAGATGAGGAAATAAGTACAGACATTTAAGTAACTTGCCCAAAGTTGCGAAGCTAGTCGGTAACAGACCCAGGATTTGAACCAAGTCTGTCGGACTCCAGAGACCATACTCATGACCATTATATTATATTCTTATGTAGATTCTGTACATTTTCTAAGGCCCAGCTCAGACCTTCCTCCTTTCCCTACCAGGAGCCTTCTCTGACTGCTTTAGCCCATGCCTCTTAATCCCTTCTCTAGGGATCAGTTTAATTTAGTGTTTCCAGTTAATTTAATACTTAGCATATTCTATTGTGAGTTATGCCTAAATATATATGTGTATATATGTAGTAAGTTACTTAGATTTTATATAGTGATGATTGTGGTTGGTTAGTTACTCAAGGGGGTTGAGATAATAGTAGTGATCATTTATTAGGGGTTTCATTAGTTAGGGTTGTTTTGTTTGCAGGTAATAGAAGTCCAATTCAAAGTAGCTGAAACAAAAAGGGGAATTTATTGGTTCATGTATGTGAAAAATCAGGTGAATCTGCTGGATGCTTTGGCTGCATATAGGTGCACAGGATGTTGTCAGGTCTCTGTGTGCATCTCTATTTCTTGAGCATGTGTACAGCTTCTCTTAGTCTGTTACTTGTTCTGTCATACACATGAAGACATCTTTGTTTTCCTTAGTGTTGGCTTCATTCTTTTTTTTCTTTCAGTTTTATAACTTTATTTGATATAGTTGACAATCAGTGATTAGTTCTTGTCCACATCGACTGTCTGTAGTTTTTGAAAGTGGCAACAGGTACATAGGTAACCAAAGTATAGAGCTCATTTGGTGAATCTTCATCCTCATTATGTTTTCTGGACAACCGCACATGGGTTCGGCATGGGACATTCCTTATTCCTTTGGCCCAGACAGCCTTGTTGAGCCTGGTATCAATGCGCACATCTAGAGTTCCCATCTCCTTCATGGCAAATTTCTGAATCTCTTTGAGTGCTCAAGGGGCACGTTTCTTGAAGCCCACTCCATGGATGCCCTTGTGAATGTTGATGGTGTATTCTTGGGTCACCACCTCATGGATGGCAGAATGGCCCTTTTTCTTCTTGCCACCCTTCTTCACGGGAGCCATTCTGCCGGGTCCTGGCTTCATTCTTAGATAAGCTTTCTCTATGAGCCTGTCAGGCTGTAGACAGAAATACAAAACCCACTTAAGGTATTAAAAATAGAAGGGATTCTTTGGTTTATCGATTGGTTTATTGATTTATTAATTCTTGGCAGGGAGAGATAATTGGTATTTTGTTATGGAAAGTTTTTTAACACATATAAAATTAGAGTCAATCATAAAATTGACTCCAGGTACCTATCACCCACAATTATCACCTGACAGTTATCAAATTATGGCCAGTCTTGTTTCATCTATGCCCCCATCACGCCCCCTCCTGGAATATTCTTAAGAAAAATCTCAGATATATACAGCCATAAATGTTTCATATTATTTCATCTATAAATATTCCAGTATGTAGCTCTAAAAGGTAAGCACTCTTAAAAATCATACCCAGAGAACCATTATTCCACCTAAAATATCACTAGTGATAAAGAGAGGGAATTGGTTACATGGCTGTTAGAAGGGATGGAAGACCTAAGTGGAGAAGAGGGGTATGGGAAGAACAAAAAGAAGAAGCGTTGATAACCAGAGATCAGAAGCTGCATCACTGCTCAACTGAAGTCAACAAGTCTATATCCACTGCTGGGCTTTCAGGGAGGGTGTCACTGTAATTGTAGACCTGCTGAAGATGTGATGCCTCAACCAAGGCTGGAATCTCTGCCAATGCAGTTACCGTGGTTAGTACTGCCATTGCTGCTGCACTATCACTGCTGCTGCAGACAGAAATGCTATCAGAAGCCAAACAAGACAGTTGCTTCTCCCCAGCTCTGGCCTTCCAGTCTCTCATGAATTCCTTCTATTGGCGGTATCCAGCTAGTTGGAAAGGCAGTCTGGGAAGTGTAGTTAAGGAGGTGGCTCCAGCCCCCTGCAATACACAGAAGAACACAGAAGGAAGGGGTGAAGGCTGAGAGCAAACAGGCAGATAACTGGCACCATTCAACCCTTGGAACCCCAATATCTACCCTCCTGCTTCCCTCCATATTTAATTTCCATACAACAATAGCAACTGCACCATGCTTTTACCTAACATGAAGGAACTCTTCCTCTTACACTGAAGACACTTTCACCATCTCCTCAAGAAGGATGAGACACAGTTCCATCAGTTACTGTAGCCATCGCTGGATGATATTATTTTCTCTTCTAAAGAAATTTATGGATATTTTATATCCTAAAAACTAAGTTGTAAAGTCAATCACCACTAGCAGTTTAAGTGTGCATGCGAGTGCACACACACACACTAAGGAAGGAAGAAAATGCACATGAAAATATGCATAGTTGCTACAGTGATCATTTCTTAACTGGTCAGGAGGCCATAGTGAATATTCGTAAATCCTTTTTTCCATCACCTATTTAATGTTCCTTTGTCCTCGTCCAGCACTTTGGCTGGTTGGGGTTCTTTAACTGATGTGGTCTTCTGAACCTTTACTTCTGAAGGGTCTGAGTCTTTAAAGGTCCTGCTTTTACTGGGTTGCTGTAGTTTTCATTAAAAGACTAAAAGACATGGAACTTCTTAGAGGAGCACTAGATAATACTGTAGTCCCAAAGATACTTTTTTTTTTTTTTTTTTTTTTTTTTACCTCAAGGTATAACAGCAATTATATTTATTTTTATAAACAGTATCAGTCACCTAGTCAGTAGAATGAACCCCTCTTTGTCTGACTATAGGTTCAGTGAAATGAGAAATGCAAGTGGCCAGTAGCAATCTTGACTTCCAGTTCAGTTGAACCATGATTGTGTCTCCTGGTAAAAGTACCTCCTTAGGAACTAAGACTTGTAAATCAGAAATGCCAAAAATTATAGAATGAGAAGCAAAAAATCTGCAAGTGGACTATTAGATATATTGTAAGAGGAGCTACTTTCATTTCCATTAATTCCTAGGCCCTTAGGTTATGGTTATGAGAAAAACAGTATCAGTTTTGGTTTCTGTGATACCCTATGCTGTTAAGTTAGGGTCCCAACTTTAACTATATCTATTTGGTATAGTAGATAAATCATCAAAGACTATTTCACTAGAGGATTCTGAGAAGATGATAGAGTAGGAAGCACCAAGAGTGTGTCTCCTCATCTAGACAACAGTTTCATTGGCAGAATCAGTCTGATGTAACAATTTTGAAACTGTGGACACAAATAATCTTCACACTCTATTAAAAGTTTACGTCGGCCAGGCGCGGTGGCTCACGCCTGTAATCCCAGCACTTTGGGAGGCTGAGGCGGGCGGATCACGAGGTCAGCAGATCGAGACCATCCTGGCGAACGCAGTGAAACCCCATCTCTACTAAAAATACAAAAAAACTAGCCAGGCGTGGTGGCGGGTGCCTGTAGTCCCAGCGTCTAGGGAGGCTGAGGCAGGAGAATGGCGTGAACCCGGGAGGCGGTGGAGCTTGCAGTGAGCAGAGATCGCGCCACTGCACTCCAACCTGGGCGACAGAGCGAGACTCCGTCTCAAAAATAAATAAATAAATAAATAAATAAATAAATAAATAAATAAATAAATAAAAGTTTACGTCTTCCAGGGGAAGATTTAGATGACAAACTGCAGCTAATTTCAGTCAATTACAGCTCTTAACCCGGTAGCAGCTACCCATCCCCTAACTCCCAATCTCATGGTTCAAGTTTTAAACCTGAAAATTAGAATAATAAATATATTCGTTGGGTAACTCACATGCAGCTTGCAGAAGCCAGGGTGAGCAAAAAGATCCCTGTCCTCCAAATTTTAGAGATTTGTGCTGTGATCACTGATTGCTACTTCTAATCATTGAGGCACAGACAGAGAGGCACACAACCATTGTTGGACACACACCCATCCACAACTGTCATAAGCCCTTTCTGCTCCAGCTGAAGAGACTTCCAGGGAATTTAAAGGATTTCTTTTCTTAATCCCCATTCCTTTCCCCCTCTTTTGGGAGCCAGACATTAAAGTCTGGGACATTTAAAAGCAGCTGCATATACAGAAGAAATGAGAATGTCACCACATATACCGAGAGAAATGCACAGGCTTAGAAAAGACCTGAGAAGACCTTACATTTACACCTCAGCCTAATCCTTGACACAGAGACAGCCTACAGTAATCAAATACAAAACAAACAAAAAAAAAAAAACCAAGCAAACCCTGGTAAAGGGGAGAATCTGATTTCTAGAGTTACCATATTAATAGATTCAAATATTCAGCTTTCAACAAAAAAATCACAAGGCATACAAAGAAACAGAAAAATATGGCCCAGCCAAAGGAAAAAATTAAGCAACAGAAACTATCCCTGAGAAAGGGAGGACTTACTAAAGACTTTAAAACAGCTGTCTTAAAGGTTTTCAAAGAACTAATGGAAGATATGAATAAAGTCAAGAAA